GAGTAGAGCTGCTGCTCCTCCACGTCGAGAGGAGCCAGTTGAGGTGGCTCGGGCATCTGGTAAGGATGCCCCCTGGACGCCTCCCTGGTGAGGTGTTCCGGGCACGTCCCACCAGGAGGAGGCCCCGAGGAAGACCCAGGACACGCTGGAGGGACTATGTCTCTCGGCTGGCCTGGGAACGCCTTGGAGTTCCCCTGGAGGAGCTGGAAGAAGTGGCTGGGGAGAGGGAGGTCTGGGCCTCTCTTCTGAAGCTGCTGCCCCCGCGACCCGACCCCGGATAGGCAGAAGAAAATGGATGGATGGATGGATGGATGGATGGATGGATGGATGGATGGATGGATGGATGGATGGATAGATGGATGGATGGGTGGGTGGGTGGACTGATGATGGATGGATGGATGGATAGATGGATGGATGGATGGATGGATGGATGGATGGATGGATGGATGGATGGATGGATGGATGGATGGATGAATTTCTTCATTCATACTGATAATCTATAATACTGATAAACCATAACATTATGACTAGTTCTTCACTGAGTAAAATGTCAGCTAAATTCATAATCCAAAGAATGTAATGAAGGAATACATTACAAGACCTTTGCTCTGGAGACTCGATTTTAAATCTCATTTTAAGGCTACCTTAAGTTTAACTTGCACACTTTCTCTTGTTAGGTTGGTATTAGAAAAAAAGGTTGTCACAACCCGGGATGATCTTTAAATACTGAAACTGTGTTTTTAGTAGCATTACTGTCATAGATTAAATATTTTTTACACAGTTTTTTGTCAACTACCTTCTTCCCCAGATGAAAACGAGATAACTAAAAAAGACTAAAGCGCAGTGACTAAACCTTTGACGAAAGTTATTGGTATTTATATTGAAAACTAATAACAGGAGGACTCCAGACACACAAAAATCAAGTTTTCAAATTGACACTCGTGTCAACAAAACTATCTTGTTGCCAGGTCAGCTGACAAATGACCAACTTTCAACAAACCAGGCATCATCGGAGGTTTTGAAATGGTGAATTTGAAAATAACAACTCGGTATTGGAAAATTTCCTCATTTTGACTCATTTTGCCAGCATGGGTCACATTTAAAAGTCATATTTGTTGTTCATTCACAGCATTACAGTGTAAACATGTGACTTTTTCACAATCATCATCAGAAAAACACTAATGTTTGCAGAGTTTGTTCGCATGTAAACTGGACCTAAATGTAAACACAAATACTAATTACTGAATGTCCTGATGCATCTCAGTAATCCAGGTAAAAAATCWAAAAGAAAAAAATTGTATAGGTCYTCTGGASGGGTTCTTCTCTAATGAAACGTTTCGTCTCTCCTCCAAGAGACTTCTTCAGTCTGAGAGTTTCAGGCAAAATTCAGGCTTTTAAGCMCTGCCTCCATGTGACTGATACTCACATCACATGGCTATCGTTGACACCTAATTAACACTTATTGTTAACAGGGGGTGGAGTGATACTGGCAATGGCCGCGCTGTAGGAGGGGGACAACAGAAAACTGCGGCCTCCACCTCTGTTTAATGATGGACGGTCTTTCTTTACAAAAAGGCTTCTTTTACTCCTCTCTCAAACCAACGTTCCTCTCTATCAAGAATGAGAACATCCTCATCTCTGAAAGAGTGACCGCTGGCCTGTAAATGAGTGAAAACTGCAGAGTTCTGGCCATTAGATGTAGCTCGTCTGTGTTGTGACATTCTTTTGAACAGCGGCTGCTTTGTTTCCCCGATGTATAACTGGTCGCAGTCCTCCTGGCACTTAACAGCATATACAACATTGCTCTGTTTGTGCCGGGGCACCGGAWCTTTGGGGTGAACCAGCCTTTGCCGTAATGTGTTTTGGGGTTTGAAAGCCACTGGGACATCATGTTTAGAAAATAAACGTCTCAGTTTCTCCGAAACACCCGCAACATACGGAATAACCACTGGTTTGGGTCTGGGTTTGGGGTCTTCATTTTCACCTGAAGGTTGCATGGAATCCTGTCTGTGTTTCCTGTCTGCTTTCAGGAAAGCCCAGTCAGGATAACCACACTGCTCCAGGGCCTGTCGTGTGTGTGTGCAGAGCTTAAAAGCCTGAATTTTGCCTGAAACTCTGAGACTGAAGAAGTCTCTTGGAGGAGAGACGAAATGTTTCATTAGAGAAGAACCCGTCCAGAAGACCTACACAATTTTTTTCTTTTTGACTAATTACTGAAATATATTAAAAGTTAAAATACATTTTTGATCAAAAGACTAAAACTATATTAAAATTTCCTTTCAAAATTAACACATTTGCAAGTAATGCAGTAGTACAAGTTAAGTGGTAATTGTCCTACCAGTTAGTTGTCAGGCCTTCTGAAGTACATCAGCATCACAAATGGGCATCTTGAATCCTGATGAAAGCTCAACATCCCTGGTTGTAGTCCAACATGGAGTCAAAGATGGCCAAAAGGACCTGCACAAAGCAGCAGGACACAATGAAAACAATATATAATGTGTTGTCTTATAAAGCATCATAATTGATCTTGAATGCACATGCATAAAATCGAGCACCACATGCCCAAATACATTCATAGATATTTTTGGTATCAAGGTCAGTATTCAACTCTAGTTTTTTGATCCTTTATAAATGATTATATGTTGTTTTTATATACAAGCTTGTTTTTAAATAGTTGCATTGGACTTTTGTGTTGTAGTGACAAAAYGTCCTCAATGTACAATGTCAAAATTAACTAGAGGATAGCTGAAAGATAGCTATGAAGACTAGATTTTAACAACCCGGAAGTAGGCATAAATATACTTACACTGGCCGAGCATGCGCAGTAGCTTAAAAATAAAGTCACCAGCAACAAGTGACAGAGCAGTTTGGGCAAGTCTCTAAAGACATTTAGTACATGTACTCAAATTTCAGTGTACAAATATATACATAAAGGCTCTTTTGTTAATCACATTTAGCATTCAGCACCCATTTAAGTCAAAGTTTCTCAAACGAACATTGTTAGCTCACAGCGCTAGCCGATTAGCATCTCACTCGAGTCCTAAGAGGGGTTTTTCCCCTCTCTGGCGCACAACATTAAATGTAATTCACCGAAACACGTGAACAACAGATGCTTAAGATACATTGCTTTAATGAGTTTACTTACAATTTGTTACTGTTAACTAGTAACTCCGATGAAAACACGAGAGTGACAGCTTATTACGAACGTCACCTGGTTCTGCGGAGTTATCTGTGTGCACTTCACGGCACGCTCGGAAAAGACACAACTTCCTCCCGAAATGTTGTATTTTAATTAAACAAATTACATTAAAATGTGCACTTCGAACAAATAAATGTACAAAAGTAATTCTGTAACAAAAACATTAAACATATTTTAAATAGATAATTATGCCTTTTTACTTGTTTGCATACTTTATGTTTTATCATACGTTTTCTGTTTTAGGGATTTTATGTTTTTTGGTTTAATTGTATGGTTTTATTGCACAAGACTTTGGTCAGTTTAGATTGTTTTAAATGTGCTTTGTGAATCCAGACGATAAGATTTCAAATATTCACAATATCCCCAAGATGATAAGTTATATGGATGGTTAGTCTTCTTTTTTTTATTTTATTATTTTTTGTAGCACTTTAGGATTCTTGAATGTAAAGTGCCCTATAAATCAAATGTATTATTATTATTTTTTTAATTATTATTATTATGTCTTAGTTTCTTCTTCTCTACTTCCTCTCTTCCACTTGCTCCCTACTCTCACTACAGACGTCGTCCTGCCTTACTTCAACTGTCAACATGTCCATCATGTAATCCTATCTTCACTCCTCCTGCACATCTCACCACTGCACAAATTTAGGTGTCCCACAAGTTTTTATAAAGTTCATACAGTATTAAATAATGAAGTTTTAACATAATTTAAAACTAAATCTGAACCAAATCAGCCTGAAGTTTGTTTGTTTGTTTTATTTTGTTTGTCAGTGATGTTGTAACCTGCCTTTTGCATCACTCTGTGCAACAATGTTTGCGCTGAGTCAGATCATCGCGTCCCTCTGCTGTCTTTTTTTTTTTTTTTTTTTTTTTAGAGGTCACTGAGTCCTGATGACCCCGTCAGGGTCTCTCACACACGAGGGCACGCATCCACCACAGATAATCGATCATCAAGTGGTCAAACCTGAACTCGTTGAGGATCACAGGTTGTAATATTGTCATAAAAATAATCATGAGTAGCACAATGAAACACTAAGAAAAGACTTTGTCGTTTTATAAAACTGTTTTTTTTTTTTAAATAGGCACAAAACCAAGTTTGGGGAGGGGTTTGGAGCTGGCAGAGGGGTTTGTCGTGTGCCTGGGTCGTGACAGGTCAAAGGTCAACAAAGCTGACAAAATCCAGTGACTATGCTAAAGGTCACAGCTCCGGGGTTTGAACTCGGCTTTACTCATGACCTCGCATTTATGGAGGTTTCTGCTTAAATGTAAAGTTTAATTTAATTAAAAGGTCAGGGTTCTTAAAGAACCTGCCATCACCTTATTGTGGTGGGTGATAATTCTGTTAAAGAGTCTGACTGAGTCATTTGTTAGGAGAGGAGAGGAAAAGCAAAGATCAACATTACGAAATATTGCTCTCCAGTGGTAAAAAAAAATAGACAAAGTGAGACATGAATGGTGAGGAAGAGTTTCCAAAGACAGAAGGGATTTGGAGATGAGGTGGAGGGGTGACCGAGTGATAGGAGTCCATGGAAATGGCCTTGCTTGCCAGCTGCAAGAGGCATGAGATCATAGCCCTGTGCTACTCTGCACCATTATCCCCCCCTAAACCCTGCACTCGTCTCTGCCTCCTATTATCCTCCCCGACACACACACACAGCCACACACTGATTTGACTGTTCTGTTTATTGATGACTCAAGCTTGCCATGTCTTTCCGAATACTCAGTCAACGCTGGAGCTCCGGCACCTCGGGGCCTAATGGACTGATCTCGACTGTTTACAGCTGTGGCCTTTCTAAAATGACTCACAAAGAAAAGAACAAAGAGGTCTCTGTGAGCAGGAGAGCTTTTCCCATTCTCACCAACAGGACCTACCGTTGTGCACTTTACTTTTTGTTTTGTTTTCTTTGAAAGATCTCCTATCTTTCTCCTCCCTTGATGAGCTTGTTGTCCTCTCGGTCTTTTTATCTTTCCACCCACAGGAGGCGCTTCGCTCTAATCTGTCACCGCTCAGACTTCTTTCTGTTTACTTTTTTATTTCTTTTACTCATTCTTCACAGTTAAACAGATATCAGAAACATAGTTACTGTTTTCTCAACCAAACTACGTCTGTTTTGGCACAAATCTTCATGTGCAGATTGTGGACTATGACTATTAGCGGTGCTGAAGCTGCAGAGCATATCAGTCCATGGGCGTAATTTGCGGGGGGTTASGGGGGTCATGACCCCCCACAAAAATTTGGTCCAGTCAACGTAGCCGCCCCAATAAAATTACCTAAATTGATCTAACATGATAGAAATTAACTGGTTAAGCACACAGGTGCTAAGCACCAGGTAAATTTTAAAATTTGAGAAATTTAGGTATGTCGTATAATATATCTTAGAAATACAAATTTTTTGTTACACTTGGAAAAAAAAGGGAAATACAAGTAAATCTTTTCTTAATTGTTGAACTGACATGGAACAGAAAAGGTGCGGAGCAATACAATGAAGACAGGGAAGTTAAGTAAATCACAGTAAAAGCATTACAATGCATTTTAACTCTAAAATATCCTGCATTGTTTTACTAAAGTAAATTATTCAATAAATAAATAAATAAGCAGAGAGAAGGTGCAGCATTTGATCGAGTCCGAGACAAGACCAAGACCATCAAAAAGTGGCCAGGTATGCAAATTTTAGCAATTTTCTAGACAGCCAAAAACTCTTTTCCTTACTGTTGTAGTTGGCGATATTTCTGAGCATCATCTGCGTATACTGTAACCGTCTATGCAGAACACAGATATTCAGGTTTGGATTTAAATAGAAACCAATGATGTCATGCAACAAAGAAGAGGGTTATTATTAGTTTGTGTAGCGTTCTTTCATATCAGCGTAATGTTTTTTAGAAATACAATAAACTTCATGCTCTGTGCCCTAAAGTGCAACAGCTACAACATAGCTTTTAAAATGTTCAGCATCCTCAAACACCAAAGTGATGCTCCGGCTACTGTTGTTTTCAAAGTCTTATTTGGGCTCTTGAACCTTTTACCTTTGCCCCACATTCCCCCCCCCCCCTGTGACCGGTTATGTATCTTTCCACACATACCTGAGGGTGGGAGCACCTCTTGCCGCTTCGACATCAAAATTTCCACCCGGCGGGGGCCCTGAAAAGGCCTGGTGTTTGTTTGTTTTGGTGCAAAGCCTTGGCGTGAGCGCAGCGCCGGGCTCTCCTGGGAACAACACCCCATTGGAATGTCTGGAATTTTACACAACAAGGATTAGCTCATCCCTGTCTGTTGTCTCTGCTCTCCATGTTTGTCATTCTTTCATCACGCCGGGCTCAGACACAAGGATGAGCCAACAGAGATGGAGACAATATAAAGAGGCACAACAAAGGATAATGTCTCATCTGAAGGCTTTACTTACTTTTTTAAATGTTAATGCCTAATGAAAAAAAAAATGCTCTTTTCTTTTGGAGCCGGGGAGGCTTGTCTTTGTTTTTATTAACTTTAAAGAAAACAGCTGCACCGTGCTGTTTTATCTGCCCGGCTCAGGCTCAGACAGAGTGACATCATTGCCAGATAACTCCAGCGTGGTTACAGCAACGTTGGGTTGAAAGAAATGTTAGAACCAGAACCAGCACCAAACACCCGYCTTGACGAGATGCAATGGTTTGTAAAACCACATGAAGGTGTCAGAGGAACTCAGGTTTTCTCATCTTTTTATCGTGTTTTGACTAAACTAAAGTTGATAAAACCTTGAAAATTAAAGTTTATTCCTTCTGTTTTAGTGATACCGGTTGGCAGATTTAAAACCAYATGTGTAACATCACCTTTCTTCCAACTCTGCTCCTTTTCTCTCATTTTATCATCAGTCTGATTGTAACCAGTTACAGGACATATTAAGGGAAGAAAGCCAATCYTGGATGAAGCCATCAAGCCTTGGTGGATGCTGCCATCTTGTGTCTRCAATGCAAACACAAAGTTGCATTAAAGTTCTTCTCTTCATTGGTTTTTTATACTGATTTTTTTTTTATAAGGATTGATATGAGACAATCAGCAAAGTAACCATGTGTGACGACTGTCAAGGTAATTTATGAAGCACTAGATCGTTAAGCAGTCTTACTAATAAAACTGTTGCAAATAATTCATCTTAAAAGAAAAATGATTAATACTACATTAAAGAAAATACATCTGACAGATTATCAACCTCATTTTATTAGTAATAAGGAAAGAAAACAGTATTTTTTTTTTATGTTTCATTGATCTGAAGCTAAATGATGAGAGGCCATAAGATGGCAGTGTTTAGTATCTATTTAATGCTGATCTGTGAGTCCTAAAACAGATTATTGAGACAACTTGGTATTTCATTAAATCAGATTTTAAGCTGAATTATTTTATTTTATTATTATTTTTTATTTTTTGCTGTTCGAACCTAGACGTGCCATGTTTTAAGAAAAAAAACAAAACAAAACCTAAAACCCTGATAA